TGGTGATATTTTTAGGCCAGTGACCTTGAAAAATAGGCCAAGGTCACCTTTAGGCACGTCATTTGTAGGCCTTTATGAGATGCATGTCCAGTAAGAATTAGGAGCCTGTAACTGAAATAGTTGATGAGATAAAGTAAAATGTCAAAGTTTTTGGTGATATTTTTAGGCCAGTGACCTTGGAAAAATAGGCCAAGGTCACCTTTAGGCATGTCATTTGTAGGGCTTTATGAGATGCATGTCCAGTAAAAATGAGGAGCCTGTGGCTGAAATAGTTGATGAGATAAGACAAAATGTCGAAGTTTTTGGTGATATTTTTAGGCCAGTGACCTTAAAAAAATGGGCCAAGGTCACCTTTAGGCTCTTTTTGAAGGCCTTAATGAGATGCCTGATGAGTAAAAATTAGGAGCCTGTAACTGAAATAGTTGATGAGATACAGCAAAATGTCGAAGTTTTTGGTGATATTTTTAGGCCAGTGACCTTGGAAAAATAGGCCAAGGTCACCTTTAGGCATGTCATTTGTAGGGCTTTCTGAGATGCATGTCCAGTAAAAATGAGGAGCCTGTGGCTGAAATAGTTGATGAGATAAGACAAAATGTCGAAGTTTTTGGTGATATTTTTAGGCCAGTGACCTTAAAAAAATGGGCCAAGGTCACCTTTAGGCATGTCATTTGTAGGCCCTAATGAGATGCCTGATGAGTAAAAATTAGGAGCCTGTAACTGAAATAGTTGATGAGATACAGCAAAATGTCGAAGTTTTTGGTGATATTTTTCGGCCAGTGACCTTGAAAAAATAGGTCAAGGTCACCTTTAGGCATGTCATTTGTAGACCTTCATGAGATGCATGTCCAGTAAAAATTAGGAGCCTGTAACTGAAATAGTTGATGAGATACAGCAAAATGTCGAAGTTTTTGGTGATATTTTTAGGCCAGTGACCTTGAAAAAATAGGTCAAGGTCACCTTTAGGCATGTCATTTGTAGGCCTTCATGAGATGCATGTCCAGTAAAAATTAGGAGCCTGTAACTGAAATAGTTGATGAGATACAGCAAAATGTCGAAGTTTTTGGTGATATTTTTAGGCCAGTGACCTTGGAAAAATAGGCCAAGGTCACCTTTAGGCATGTCATTTGTAGGGCTTTATGAGATGCATGTCCAGTAAAAATTTGGAGCCTGTAACTGAAATCGTTGATGAGATAAAGCGAAATGTGTTGACGGACGCACGCATGCATGCACTCACACACACACGCACGCACACACGCACGAACGCACGGACGGAGCCCGATACCATAGCTCCCACACCGCGAGCGGCGGGAGCTAAAAATAGAGATTGTCCTTGAAGAATGGGCCAATATCCCACTACATTCAGTACAGAAATCGTACTAAGGATTTTGAAAGCAAACGGCAGGCCCATAATTGCTAGCTATCTCGTTTATGCAGGTGATTCCAAAATTTTGTACATCGCTGTATGTTCACTGATGATTTTCTCATTTTATTTTTTGTTTGTATCAGAATCATTGCTCTTTCGACTAATGCACTGTTGTGCTTTCACAATTAGTGCATGTAACTTTATTCAGTTAAATATTCGAAAGCAATACGTTTACACAAGCTGCATTTCGTGGTTATGTAGATTCTACCACTGAAATTATATGAGCTAAGATAGAATTAATGTAACCCCGTTGCGCAGAAGCCAAATATGGCTATTTATGCGTTACCCAATTTTAGGCTTTATAATTCAATATCTAAGCTTCACAGAGAACTGGCAAATGGTTTTAATGTTACTAGACTCTTGGAGCATTTAGAATTCCATTGTATTTCAGTTTCGTTTCATAATTTTAGTTCAGATCAAGGGCCACAAACACAAAAATCTTAATGAAAATTTGGCAATGAAATCATGAAAAAAAAAATAATAGTGAGAACTGAAAAATGGTTGGGAGTTTAACAATACATTTCCAGGATCATAAACTCCTTGACCAGAAGTGCACATCACATCATTGAAAAGTGATTTTCTTTAAATTATCAACCATTTATAAGCCAAACAAGATAGCTCTCCAGGTGGCTTCCCAAGCTGTCAGAGCTATCAAAATTAGCGCACTGTCAAATCATAAAATAATCATGTTCAACACAAATCAACTTTTGAGTCATGAAGTTCAGCATGAATTAATGATTTCCTGGTGGAATTTGGCATGAGTTTATTAATATAGGCGAGATGCAGTAGCGCAGTGGTTAAGTAGGCTTGACTTGTGATCAAGAAGTCCTGGCTTTGAATCCTTGCCATGTCCTTCATGGGGAAACACTTCGCTCTCAAAGTATCTCACACCACCAAGGTTTATGAATGGGTACCAGCAAATTGTCGACTCCTAGTCGCTTCATGCCATGGAAACCAGGGTTAAGCACTGGCCTGATGGGTGACTAGGCACTAGACTTATGAATATAGGTGTCGATGGATATCAATAGTCACCAGTAACCTCTCCAAACCAAAAACATTCCTCTTCTCCATGATAAAGTTCGGAGTCTTGTCCAGTTATCTAAAAAGCCGCATCAGCAAGCACACGTTCCCATTAAAGGAACGTTCACCCTGTGATGGAAAGCTTGCCATTTACAAATCCGATCATCCAAGTGGAAAGCAAGCTTGGATAAATGCTTTTCACACTCTATAAGGTGCAAGTATAACTACAGTAGTATCTGAAATGTTCCTCATTTTAACAAAAAAGAAATTCCATCAGGGAAAAAAGCCAGCAATATGCTGCTCTAGATTGAACAGAATCGGTGCATTGAATATGACACATCAGATCTGCACCAGCACGTCTGTGGGTGAGTATGTGTGTGTGTGAAATGTTTGCGCCTGTACACGTGTTTATGTGTGTATATGTCCTTTTGTGCCCAGCTTGGTCTCCCTCATAAAAATTTGGTTCCATTTTAGAACTCGTCATGAGGCATTAAACGCGGCATCTGTTATGCTGCGGCTAAGTTTCAGGCTGTCCTAACAGTCCACAGTGTTTCCTGTGAGGAGAAAAGCAGGTACGGTTGGGGCAGTTGGAGATGCGGTTATTACGGAGTTTTATGCGCAAAGATGCGGACTTTTACCACAGTCCTGGAGCTGTTCTCATTTCACAATAAACCTAAGCCTAAACCTAAACCTAAGCATTTCGTTGAATGCGGTATAAATTCTAAAACATCACTACATTGAGCAAAGTACGACCATATGCAGTATAATTAGCAAAGGTTAAAGGTCACGCATACTGACCAATGTGGCAAACAAGCTCTATGATCTTCATGGATATGGTGAACAAAAAAAAAAAAAAAAAAAACAATTAGCCAGCTTGCTAGCTAACAAGCCATGAGGATGCCTTCTATCTCCATTCTAGTCACTCAAATAGAAGCAAAACTCTTCATCAATGAAGTCCTCTTCCAGAAAAAGAGAGTAGCAGAGCTTTCCAGTATGATTCCATTCAGAATAACTCCCATTATCCATGTCAGAATCAAACTGCCATCATCTTCATACTGCAGCCCAAATGGCCCCTCACTAAAAAACACTGTATTGATTCCAGTTTGATGGAGTCTGCAGGTTTGACGGAATCTTCAATACTATGAGTGGCAGAAAGAAAAAAAATTTGTAGTAAGGGCTGCAACCTGCTGTCAGGAAGCCCATGACTTCAGAAATTATCACTGCCAAGGACATCCTGGGACCAATTTGATTCTATCAATCAAAGTTGGCTTGTTTGTCCTGTGGCATGTGGCATGTGTTATCAAAACGTGTGTTGTCCTTTGAAACTCAATAACCAAAATAAGATCACAAAAATAACTCCTTATTTCATGTTTCAGCCCAGGGGGCTCCTCATTACCACAGCACAATGAACCTGGGGCTTCATGGTTTTAAAGCACTCGTCTGACCGTAACCGCCAATTTCACATTTTCTTCCAGAATCTGCTCACAAATACGTGGGAAAATCCATATGATGCAGGAAAAATGGTTCTTGCAATTTTGCAACTCCGGAATTCTAGGGATTCCATTTGAAAATGCTCATTGAATTGAACAGGTTTTCAAAATGTAGATGTCTCCAAATTGAAAAGAACAGGTTTTACAGAATCTGAGAGTCTGTGTTAAGCCCTCTTGAGAGCCTCAAACTGAAGACTGTTGGACAAGAGCGAAAAATAAAAAATAAATAAATATATATATATATATATATATATATATATATATATATCCATAGAAGAGGTCATTCAAAATGTCATTACACCAAATTTAGTCTGGATATTCAAACCTTGCTGCCAGATTTTCAATTACCATCCTGATTCCCAATTTTGGAGTCTGTCTGTTTTAAAGCCCTCTTGAAAGCCTCCTGTACACTGAATGACATGCTGTTCGACAATTTTTTTTCGATAAAAACAGAATAAATGTATATATATTGTCATTGCATGAATGTCATCTAGAGTCAATTCTAAGCCGTATGACCCCTGACCAAAGCAGTCCTCGATATTCAAACCTTGCTGACATTATTTTCAACCAGGGATGCAATCCTGATTGCCAGTTTTTTGCCATTTTCTGAAACCTGAGAGCAAAGAAGAACAGAGGAATTCCTCAAAAGGACTGTGCACTGGTGCCCAACATCAGAAAGAAACATGGCCATGGAATTTATGGCACCAATGTCCTTCTTTCAATCAAAGTTAGCTTGTTTTGGGAGATGCACTGTTACTTGATATGAAAAAGTATGTGCTGTCTTAAGAGACTCAATCATAAAATCAGTAAGATCACGAAAAAACACCTCATGATATGTTACAAGCAAGTTTGCTTATCAATACCCAGGCAGAATGAATATGGGGTTTCAAGTCATTAATCGTTGCAGGCCACCGGATCCACGATTTGATATTTTCCATATTAGGAAGCAGGGGTAAAGGGGAAAATGCACGTTCTGCAGGGAAATTGGTGCTCGCAGTTCACTGGCTTTGGAAATGCTTTGCCAATGCCCTTGTGTAATATGACAGGAATATGGAAAAGTTCAGAGATGTCAGAAGTGGGATTTGAACCCACGCCTCTCAATAGAGACCAGAAGACTCCACGGAAGAGAAGCTTTATCACAGCTTGAGTCTGGCGCCTTAGACCACTCGGCCATTCTGACACCCATTTTCATGTTCTCTTGAGCGCCATCTGAAAACCAGACGACATGCCAGTTAACATAATTGTCCTAAAAAGATATGGGTATCGCGAAAATTAGGTCTGGGTTTATTGCAGCCCAAATGGCCCCTCACTAATACAGCACTTGAAATTGATACACGGCTGTCCTCATCTTCAAGCAGCGATGTAACACTGTCTGCCAGTTTGATGGAGTCTGCCATAATATGAGTGCCAGGAAGAATAGAAATTCACAATAAGGGCAGCAAACTGCTGTCAGGAAGTCCATGACTTCAGAAAAGATCATGGCCATGGACATCCTGGAATCAATCGGCTTGTTTGTCTTGAGGCATCGCTATGTGTTATCAAAATGTGTGTTCTCTAATGGAACTCATAACCAAAGTAGGATCACAAAAATAATTCTTTATTTTATGTTTCCCTCCAGGTGGCTCCTCAGTCCCACAGCACAATGAACCTGGGGCTTCATGGTTTTATAGAACTGGTCTGATCGTAACCGCCAATTTCACATTTTTTTTTCCACGATCCGCTCACAAATACACGGGAAAATCCATATTATGCGGGAAATGTGGTGCTTGCGATTCTGGGACTTTGGAAATGCAGCTTGAATTGCATTTCAAAATGTAGATGTCTCATTGAAAAGAACAGGTTTTACAGAAGTGAGAGCTGAGCTTACGCCTCAAACAAGAGACAAGAGCTCCATAGAAGAGAACTTCTATTACACCTTTAGTCTGGCACCGTAGATCATTCAGCCAATCTGGAGTCTGTTTTAAAGCCCTCTTGAAAGCCTCTTGGACACTGAATGACATGCTGTTCGACAATTTTTTTTCGATAAAAACAGAATAAATGTATATATATTGTCATTGCATGAATGTCATCTAGAGTCAATTCTAAGCCGTATGACCCCTGACCAAAGCAGTCCTCGATATTCAAACCTTGCTGACATTATTTTCAACCAGGGATGCACTCCTGATTGCCAGTTTTTTGCCATTTTCTGAAACCTGAGAGCAAAGAAGAACAGAGGAATTCCTCAAAAGGACTGTGCACTGGTGCCCAACATCAGAAAGAAACATGGCCATGGAATTTATGGCACCAATGTCCTTCTTTCAATCAAAGTTAGCTTGTTTTGGGAGATGCACTGTTACTTGATATGAAAAAGTATGTGCTGTCTTAAGAGACTCAATCATAAAATCAGTAAGATCACGAAAAAACACCTCATGATATGTTACAAGCAAGTTTGCTTATCAATACCCAGGCAGAATGAATATGGGGTTTCAAGTCATTAATCGTTGCAGGCCACCGGATCCACGATTTGATATTTTCCATATTAGGAAGCAGGGGTAAAGGGGAAAATGCACGTTCTGCAGGGAAATTGGTGCTCGCAGTTCACTGGCTTTGGAAATGCTTTGCCAATGCCCTTGTGTAATATGACAGGAATATGGAAAAGTTCAGAGATGTCAGAAGTGGGATTTGAACCCACGCCTCTCAATAGAGACCAGAAGACTCCACGGAAGAGAAGCTTTATCACAGCTTGAGTCTGGCGCCTTAGACCACTCGGCCATTCTGACACCCATTTTCATGTTCTCTTGAGCGCCATCTGAAAACCAGACGACATGCCAGTTAACATAATTGTCCTAAAAAGATATGGGTATCGCGAAAATTAGGTCTGGGTTTATTGCAGCCCAAATGGCCCCTCACTAATACAGCACTTGAAATTGATACACGGCTGTCCTCATCTTCAAGCAGCGATGTAACACTGTCTGCCAGTTTGATGGAGTCTGCCATAATATGAGTGCCAGGAAGAATAGAAATTCACAATAAGGGCAGCAAACTGCTGTCAGGAAGTCCATGACTTCAGAAAAGATCATGGCCATGGACATCCTGGAATCAATCGGCTTGTTTGTCTTGAGGCATCGCTATGTGTTATCAAAATGTGTGTTCTCTAATGGAACTCATAACCAAAGTAGGATCACAAAAATAATTCTTTATTTTATGTTTCCCTCCAGGTGGCTCCTCAGTCCCACAGCACAATGAACCTGGGGCTTCATGGTTTTATAGCACTGGTCTGATCGTAACCGCCAATTTCACATTTTTTTTTCTCACAAATACACGGGAAAATCCATATTATGCGGGAAATGTGGTGCTTGCGATTCTGGGACTTTGGAAATGCAGCTTGAATTGCATTTCAAAATGTAGATGTCTCATTGAAAAGAACAGGTTTTACAGAAGTGAGAGCTGAGCTTACGCCTCAAACAAGAGACAAGAGCTCCATAGAAGAGAACTTCTATTACACCTTTAGTCTGGCACCGTAGATCATTCAGCCAATCTGGAGTCTGTTTTAAAGCCCTCTTGAAAGCCTCTTGGACACTGAATGACATGCTGTTCGACAATTTTTTTTTTCGATAAAAACAGAATAAATGTATATATATTGTCATTGCATGAATGTCATCTAGAGTCAATTCTAAGCCGTATGACCCCTGACCAAAGCAGTCCTCGATATTCAAACCTTGCTGACATTATTTTCAACCAGGGATGCAATCCTGATTGCCAATATTTTGGCATTTTCTGTAACATGAGAGCAAAGAAGAACAGAGGAATTGCTCAAAAGGACTGTGCACTGGTGCCCAACATCAGAAAGAAACATGGCCATGGAATTTATGGCACCAATGTCCTTCTTTCAATCAAAGTTAGCTTGTTTTGGGAGATGCACTGTTACTTGATATGAAAAAGTATGTGCTGTCTTAAGAGACTCAATCATAAAATCAGTAAGATCACGAAAAAACACCTCATGATATGTTACAAGCAAGTTTGCTTATCAATACCCAGGCAGAATGAATATGGGGTTTCAAGTCATTAATCGTTGCAGGCCACCGGATCCACGATTTGATATTTTCCATATTAGGAAGCAGGGGTAAAGGGGAAAATGCACGTTCTGCAGGGAAATTGGTGCTCGCAGTTCACCGGCTTTGGAAATGCTTTGCCAATGCCCTTGTGTAATATGACAGGAATATGAACCCAAAAGAGAAAGTTCAGAGATGTCAGAAGTGGGATTTGAACCCACGCCTCTCAATAGAGACCAGAAGACTCCACGGAAGAGAAGCTTTATCACAGCTTGAGTCTGGCGCCTTAGACCACTCGGCCATTCTGACACCCATTTTCATGTTTTCTTGAGCGCCATCTGAAAACCAGACGACATGCCAGTTAACATAATTGTCCTAAAAAGATATGGGTATCGCGAAAATTAGGTCTGGGTTTATTGCAGCCCAAATGGCCCCTCACTAATACAGCACTTGAAATTGATACACGGCTGTCCTCATCTTCAAGCAGCGATGTAACACTGTCTGCCAGTTTGATGGAGTCTGCCATAATATGTGCCAGGTGCCAGAAAGAATAAGGCAAAACAATAAGGGTCCAAACTTTGAAAAGGAAGTCCATGACATCAGAAAAGATCATGGCCATGGACATCCTGGAATCAATCGGCTTGTTTGTCTTGAGGCATTGCTATGTGTTATCAAAATGTGTGTTCTCTAATGGAACTCATAACCAAAGTAGGATCACAAAAATAATTCTTTATTTTATGTTTCCCTCCAGGTGGCTCCTCAGTCCCACAGCACAATGAACCTGGGGCTTCATGGTTTTATAGCACTGGTCTGATCAGAACGCCAATTTCACATTTTTTCCACGATCCGCTCACAAATACACGGGAAAATCCATATTATGCGGGAAATGTGGTGCTTGCGATTCTGGGACTTTGTAAATGCACCTTGAATTGCATTTCAAAATGTAGATGTCTCATTGAAAAGAACAGGTTTTACAGAAGTGAGAGCTGAGCTTACGCCTCAAACAAGAGACAAGAGACAAGAGCTCCATCAAAGACAAGAACTCCATATTACACCTTTAGTCTGGCACCGTAGATCATTCAGCCAATCTGGAGTCTGTTTTAACGCCCTCTTGAAAGCCTCTTGGACACTGAATGACATGCTGTTCGACAATTTTTTTTCGATAAAAACAGAATAAATGTATATTTATTGTCATTGCATGAATGTCATCTAGAGTCAATTCTAAGCCGTATGACCCCTGACCAAAGCAGTCCTCGATATTCAAACCTTGCTGACATTATTTTCAACCAGGGATGCAATCCTGATTGCCAGTTTTTTGGCATTTTCTGTAACATGAGAGCAAAGAAGAACAGAGGAATTGCTCAAAAGGACTGTGCACTGGTGCCCAACATCAGAAAGAAACATGGCCATGGAATTTATGGCACCAATGTCCTTCTTTCAATCAAAGTTAGCTTGTTTTGGGAGATGCACTGTTACTTGATATGAAAAAGTATGTGCTGTCTTAAGAGACTCAATCATAAAATCAGTAAGATCACGAAAAAAACACCTCATGATATGTTACAAGCAAGTTTGCTTATCAATACCCAGGCAGAATGAATATGGGGTTTCAAGTCATTAATCGTTGCAGGCCACGGATCCACGATTTGATATTTTCCATATTAGGAAGCAGGGGTAAAGGGAAAATGCACGTTCTGCAGGGAAATTGGTGCTCGCAGTTCACCGGCTTTTGGAAATGCTTTGCCAATGCCCTTGTGTAATATGACAGGAATATGGAAAAGTTCAGAGATGTCAGAAGTGGGATTTGAACCCACGCCTCTCAATAGAGACCAGAAGACTCCACGGAAGAGAAGCTTTATCACAGCTTGAGTCTGGCGCCTTAGACCACTCGGCCATTCTGACACCCATTTTCATGTTTCTCTTGAGCGCCATCTGAAAACCAGACGACATGCCAGTTAACATAATTGTCCTAAAAAGATATGGGTATCGCGAAAATTAGGTCTGGGTTTATTGCAGCCCAAATGGCCCCTCACTAATACAGCACTTGAAATTGATACACGGCTGTCCTCATCTTCAAGCAGCGATGTAACACTGTCTGCCAGTTTGATGGAGTCTGCCATAATATGAGTGCCAGGAAGAATAGAAATTCACA